GGGAAGCAGCGGCGCCGGGTAGAAGAGAAGAGAGGGGGGGAGAGGGGAAAAAAAAAAAAAAAGGCAAGCAAAAAACCAAAAATCCCCCCCAAACCAGGCCGCTTTTTCGTGCTTTCATTTTTGCCCGAGTCCCGAAGGCGGCACCTGCCTCTGCCCTCCCGCTGCAGGATCGGGCCTCTCCGCCCTTGTTTCCTCCCCGCGGGGAGCAGAACGATCCGTCCTTCGTTTCTGCGGGAATAGGACAGGGAATTGGTCGTTTTCCTCTAGGAAGGGAGTCCCGTTTCTGCTCTTTTCCTACGAGCCGTAAAACGAAAACTCCCGATCTTTCCGCGACTTTTTTTTTTCCCTTCGTTTTTATTTTATTCTTTTTCTTGCAAAGACAAAAACGACTGCGAGGCCGTCCGCGCGAAAATAAAATGCCTGAAACAGAAGCCGGCGAGTGCACGCGTTTGGGGAAGAGTTTTTGTTGAACCGATGAATATAGAGTTCACCGAAGTTAGAATACGATATATTTAAAGAGCGTGTCTAGAAAAAAAATCGAAAGAAACGAAAATGTTGCAAAAATATTTCTATTATTTTTTATTTTCGTTTTTTTTTCCGGATAGAATTTCCAAGTTTCTGCTGCCCTCAGAAGCCCGGGTTTATGTTTCAAGTGCCGTGAACTGCGTTTCGAGGGAGCATCGCGCGGGTCACAGGGGGCCGCGGTCGCTCCCGCCTTGGCTCCCTCGGCCCGTTCTGCGGAGCGGCGCGCGGGGCGAGAGCTCCCGGCCCGAAACCGCCGCAATTTGTATTCGTCAGTTTAAAAAAATCAAGAATCACAGCGAAACGCAGCAAACATTGATTTTCGCCGCGGATGGGGTTTATTTCTTTATTTTTTTTTCTCTCCCGCTCTTGGCGTTTTGTCGCAGTTCCGAGCGCTTTCCTCCGTCTCGCGGCTCGGCTTTGATTTTCTTCTCGTGGCAGCATTAGGGGAGCCGGCCCGGGGGGAGCCGCGCGGGGCGCCGGGAGCTCCGGCTGCTGCCGGGGCTGTGTCCCCGGGACGGGGGCTGTGTCGCTGTCCCCCCGCACCCCGTGTCCGTGTCCCCCCGCACCCCGGGCCTGCGCACCCCCCGGTTACGGGAGCCGTGAGCTGCGTCCCGGCGCATCCGCGGGCAGCACCTGCCTGACCGCAGGGACGAGGGAGCAGCGGGGTGCGGGGGGCCCGTCCCGCAGGCCCCGAGGCTCCCGCTCGCTCCTCGGGAAGCGGCTCCGCGGGCGCTGCGGGCACCCGCGCCCGGATGTCAGGGACAGGGTCACAGGGATCGTCCTCCCTCCCGTCTCTGTTGCTTTTCTGTCCCGGGCCCATCACCGTTTTAATGCGCAGCTCCGATCAGAGCTCAAGAGGGTATTTCCTCTTCCAGAGCCTCTCCGGGCAAAGAGGCACCAGCAGATTTTTTTTTTTTTTTTCTCCATAATGATGAAAACATCTGGCCGTCTCGAGGCTGTCCTGCTCCGCTGTGCCTTCCCCGATGTGCTCCCCCCTGCAGCCGCTGGCCGCCCCCAGGACCCCATATTGGGTGTTTTTCGATACCTTTCCCCCCGCACTGTGTCCATGGGGGCTGGTTGCCCTTAGCCCCACACATATTTTGGGGTCAGCTGCTTTGTGGCCCCGTTTGGCAGAGTCTGTCCGGGTGATGGGACGAGCGGGTGCCCTCAGCATGGGCCGTGGCTGCTGCCTAAATACCTGAATCACAAGATTCATTCACGTGCTTCAAGTATAATAATTGAGGCCCAAAGTAGGAATTCTGTTACTTGCTGTGATTTAAAAGTAAATGTCGTGGCACTGAACTGTTCCTGGAGAGTGAACAAAGGTAACATCCAAGTGGAACAACTGAAAAAATAAATAGTTTCTGAGGCCACAAGAAAACACTTGGAAGAATATATTTGGCTGCAAGCACTGGCAGAGCAGCCCGAGCTCTGAGAGGCCTGAGCCCTATCCAGAGCAACTCTTAGATTTTCAGTATTTAAAAATGAAAGGGGGATGTCCTATGTTTCAAAACATGACTTTACTTAGTCCCAAAGAAGAATAAACAAAGTGAAGGCAAAAACCTAAATGCCTCTAGAGACAAAAATGTGTCTAACCACAATTCTAAACTATCCTTTTCCTTCTCCCTCCCCGCTTTTTAAAAGACAAGCAAACAGCCACGCTCAGAATCACTGTGTCATATCTCAGTACCTCTATTTCTGCTCACATTGATGCTGAAGTCCATCAGATAAGAATAAGATTTGCAAAATATGAACCTGATCCTGTAGCTCACATTTAGACAGAGCTCTAGATTTAAACTGGGGGAAGTTGTGGCAAAAAAAAAAAAAAAAAAAGAGAGTGGAGAACACTGTGTATTCCTGGCCTTGGGAGCTCCGGATTTGGGTATGGATGTGATCCTTGGTAGGGTAATTCCGGGGATGTTAGGGGATGTGTGGAAGGAGGCAGCGGGGTCATCCCTGCGGATGTAAGTGCAGGAGAGGAGCTGGTGGAAGCAGCGCTGCTCCGGTTGCTTTGCTGGCTCTCGAGCCTGTTCTCGCTCCTACCACGTTTATTCGGAGCGACGTGTTAGCATTAGCTGGATTAAAGTTCCAGCAGGATAAAATGTCCCAAAATACAGATTTGTGTTCTGCGTTTTGATGTGAGTAACTGGCGTTGACTCTTTTCATCATAAGCCCCAGCAGCGTGGGCCTCAATCTGCCCCTGGAAACCGGCCTGTTACTCGACTGGCTGTGGGAGTCACTGTAGGAATTGTGGCGGGGTCAGGATTCGGGATGTGCCCTTCGCAGTGTCCACTCGTCACCACAAGCTGCACTCGGGGTCTCTTTAGCCTCCCTTTTCTTCAGAAGAGCTCACAAAGCGCACGGGATGAGCTGCGCTCGTGTAACACGCTCAGGATTTGGTTTTATCCTTCCTGTTCAGTGCGTGGCTCCCGGCCTTGTTGCATAGCAAGCTGTGAAACCACACAGAAGGACTTTCCCGAGTGTTCCTTCATTTCAGGGGTGTCTTTTAGGGAGATTTTCATGTAGGGGTCAAAAAATGCACGTTCCTGATTGCAGTGTATGGGCAAGTCTTTGCCTGGGTGCAGAGGTGAGCTCTCGTTTATTCAAAGCAGAGATCCCCAGGGTTTTCTCATTTTTATCCTAGCCTTGCTCTTCCCTGAGGCTTCCTGCAAATATTCAGCCAGGGCAGAAATCAGGCAGGTGCAATTTCGGTTTAAGGGGCAAAAGTGCTCAAAGCAGCTCAAAACTGATACCTAAAGATGAGGCAGCCTTTGCCCAGGTGGGAGAGCTGTGAAAGCATAAAAATGCCCAAAGTGGAGCCAAACGTCACCCAGCCCAGCAGCCGCGTAATTCCAGGGCCCTTGTCTGTCCGAGGGCAGATTTTATCTGCAGCTGTCCCAAAACAGGGGCGCCGCTCGCTCTGCCCGTGGTGACCTGGACGAGCTCTGGGCCACGAACACACGTGATAACATCGGCCAGAAACAGACTTGTTTCGGTGCGTGCCCACGCCGATTAGGTCCAGCCTGTCCTCCCACCCAGGCAGGTCCTTTTCTGCATGTGGAAAAGCCACGGCCCATGGGGGCTGCCGCATTTCCCTGGTTTGGAGGCTCTCGCCCGCATCCAGAGCTGGCAGGACCGGAGCTCCCTGCTTGCTTTCCTTGCCTGGCTTTGCAATTTGGAGCGGTTACATCCATCTCACCATCCTCCAGGTGAGCAGTGCCTCGGTGGGAGCTTTCAGCACCCCACTGCTTTTGCAGACACTGTTGTCTCTGCTTGGTTGGGATCAGCGCCACCCGTTTCTGGACACCCCATCCCTGCAGCGAGTTTCCTCATGCCGGTTCTTGTGGTGGGTTTTCCCGCTGGGAAAGGCTGTCTTTGGGAACAGGAGCTGCCACCTCGTTCAGGCCCTCAGGAAGGCGCAAGGTGGGGGCAGCTTTTGATCTCCATAGGAACTGCTCTTGCTTTGACCGCCGTGGCCGCTGCATCCCCGACGCGCCACCGCGTCCTGTCAAACGCGTCCCGTTCTGCCACGGGCACCCGAGATAAGAGCAGCGGGATGTCCGTCTGCTGCATGGAACCGGGCGGCTCCGGTCTAATCCGTGCCGGGCCGCAGCACGAGCGTCTACCCAGGATCACAGGGTGATATGTTTGATATAATGCGTGCTCGTGGGTAAATTTAGAGTTGACAACTCCCTCCCGCAGTTGGAGGACTCAAAGACAGTCCTATCAGGTGGCAACTGGCCGGGGGAGTATTTATAATCAATTCGCTGACTGGAATTAATATGAATCTGTCATCCCTTGTGCTGCTTGGGAAGCCACACAAGCGAGAGCCGCTGCTGCCAATAGCTGTTCATGATCTTCCCTGGCAAGAGCGGCGCTTGTCATTCCCAACTGTCAAATGGATCTCAGGCTCTGCAGAAGGTTGTCGCCGAGAGAAGGCGCTGCCTGGATCTCCTTTTCTCAGAGTTATGCAAACTCGGGGAAAGAGGAGATTCGACACGGCCGCTGGGCCGCGGTCTGGCTGTGGCCGGGGCGCAGCAGCAGGCCCAGGGGCTGCCAGCTGCCTCCAGAGCCAACTCAGAGCCTCTTCCTTCTTTTGACACCAGAGCAGCATCTTGGGCTCATCCCTGGCTTCAGCAGGCATCGCTTTTTGTCAATCCGAATTCCCATACACAGAATTTCCTCTGTTTTAGGCACATGAAATCCAGCCTTTAAGTTCTTCAAGGAAGGCAGCTCGGCTGGCTTCTCTTCTCAGGCTTTTCCAGCACTCTGCTTTGAATTTAGTGGATCTGAAGGGCTAGATTTGATACCAGAACAAAACTAGTCGCAGAGCTGGTCTGGTCTGGAGCAGAGGAGCGAAATGTTAGTGCTGTGTAAGACCCACAGAGAGACAGGGGCTACTTTGGGTCAGGATTTCAGAGAAGGGTCGAGCACTGGTTTCTCTGGAGGGCACTGGTTCTTGGAGCACCTGTCCTGCAGCCAGACCTGGGGAGGTCAGGAATAAGTATGAACTTTTAATATTCCCTTTTGGAGCATGTGACTGTCTGGAGCGAGACCGGGCTGTGGGGGAGCAGCCTGCCCTGTGCGCTGCCCACCCCTCGCCAAGGCTCTCTGAGGAACCCACCTCGGCGCTGGGGAACCCATCACGCTCACGTATCCAAACCCAAGATCCCTCTAGGCTTGACTTCCCGCTTATCTGAGGGAAAGGCCTGCTTTGGATCTTGCTTTGGATGCCCACTGCTTTCCCCCGCCTCGGCAGCTCTCGCGTCTCTGGAGAAGCAGCGCGGCTGGGGTGACGTGCGAGACGCCCGGGATGGGCTGCGGACACAGCCCCGGCCCCACGGGCGCCGAGGAGCCCCACGCAAAGCGACGGCATCAGGGGACGGGAGAAGGAGAGGAGCGATCGCTGGGTGAAGCCACAGGGCACGTTATTCGATCACAGCCTCTCTGGCAGGGAGGCCAAACAAGCCGCTATTAATTTCAGAGCAGGGAATGGCCTTTATGTGCTCCCTGGCAGGAGGCACGGACGTCTGCAGCCGTCGCGGTAGCAAACACTTGGGAAGAGGTCAAAAATCCAGCTCGGCACCCGAGCGAGGAGCCGTGCATGCACACAGGGGTGGCTATTTGGATGGCTCCTGTTGGAGGGGAGAAACACAAAGCTGACAACTGTCCTGGAGTGAATTGTGGCATCAGGGAGAAAGATTCACGCTGAAAATGCTCAGACCTTTACGGCTGAGTCAGGGGACCGTATCCTTGTTCCACTTTGCCAGCGACATTAACCAGTGAGCGCGGATTGAGTGGCTGTCTTATATGTGAAAGCGATGTGACTGGGCTGCTGTTATCTCAGCAGAGCTACTAAACCCTCCGGGAGCGAAGTCCCCGTGCTGGGAAACACACAGCGATGCAGGATGCGTGAGACCCGAGAGCCAGCTCACCGCATGCATCCAGTCCTATGGAGCTGCTAAAAATACCCCGGATTGTTCCTCTCTGGCATTACGAGGAAAGACCGGCTAATATTTTAGATGCTGGAATGGCACTCGGAGTATCCGGGTTCTGCTCCTCAGCAGCCTACCGGAGGGGATGAATTTAGGCAATCCGGGTATTTTCCTCTAGCTGGATCTGGGGGCCGTGAGCCGCTCATCTCCTCAAAGGAAAAGTGATGCATAGGTGAAAATATGAATCAGAAATGTGGGTGTTTTCTGTGCTGTTGGAAAAGTAGCAGGATTTGATGATTTTTAAAGCATTGCTTAAGGCTTCTCACTTTAGCAGATCTAATAAATGGAAATAAAAGCTGGCAGGGTTATAGCTCAGTGGGATTCT